ATTTATATATATATATATTCCTTATTTAATAATTCAATAATAAATAAGTTTTTAGAATCTAAACTATGACGTTTCGTATTATCTCGTATAGTATATGTATATTTGTCGCAAATATGTTTCAAAAAGAATTATGTAAAGAAGAGCGGCACGGCTACCTGCCTACACGAGCGTCGGTAAGTGAATGACTGCGCGGTGAGCGGTAACTGCGTGTGAACTGTGAAAACATGACGCGTCTCCTGCTTACCCTACCGCATCAAAACAAACCCCAAGGCACTAACCATCCAACTGTCGATATATTAACGTATGTATATAACGAAAAAAGTAAAATAATCTATTCGTTATATTTTTTATATTCTCCGATAAATAGGCTTTATTGATTTATTTCTTAGATTTGTGTTACGCACTCACACACCTCATCTATATCTTAGATATTTCAAATTGTGTTACAATACGCGATAATTAGTTTGTAATAACTCCTTATTATACGAAATTCGCGCAGTTTACGCAATATTTTTAACAAAAGATAGACGTATTGTGGTTTTTTGTTACTTTTGAATCGTTTAATTCTGCATTCATTTACGTTTTATTCCGCATTCATATATGTAGATATAATCGTTCTCATATCTCTTAAATAATTTATTAAAAGAAATTTGTAGAAAATAGAGCAATAGAAATCAGGCGCAGGCAGGAATCGTTGCGCAAATAATATACCGATATAACACAAACCTCTTTATTTAAAAACGCGCTTACATGTTTCGGCTCATTTTTGAGCCCTCTTCAGAAATAAAATCATCCTAATATGTACAATGTGTGCTTAATAACTACTTTATCATAGTGAGCTCCACTACACTAAAATCTCTATACAAGAATTGCACACAGGTGAATGTTAAGAAGAATAATTTATTAAATAATAACTATATTGCAACTAATTAATTGTTTAAAATATTATTTTGATGAATGTTACAATTTTTACGAATCTAGAATTTTAACTATAATAACATAATAAATAGCTAAAATAAAATATTTATATTTCTATATTTATATTTGCTATTTTTTAATAAGTTATCTTTATTTTATAATTGTCATCAATCGTTAAACAATGTATAAAATTTACGGTGTATAAAAATGTTTC